ATGCAGGCATCATTGTAGACAATTTACTGATGGGAATAGACGTCCAATTGGATGAGGGTGAAGAAGAATAAGAGAAATAAAATGATTTCAGTCAAATTAGAACATGTGCACAGAAATTTGCAATTAAAAAAGTAGGAAAAGTAGAATCAGATTTGTGATGAGATGTGCAGTGACTTTAGGGTCTATTAAAAAGTTTTTGAGATGAGTATATTGGTGCATATTTCTTAATTTTAGGATTCAGATGAATGGGTTGCTTGTAATTCATACCTTGCAACTCTACTTCATGACACATACATTTCACAGCTTCCTCTTTCACATTGAGCATTCACATGAAAAATTTTATTCTCATGTTGAGACCAGCAGTTAGTGTAATGGTTATGTCACTGGATTCCCATGTAGTCAACCGCCGTTTGAGTCCCGGACCCAGTGACTTTTTAAAACTCATGCTGGGCGCGTGTGCGTGCATGCCCAAGATCCCAAGAGAATAGAGGAGAAGGGATTGCAGTGTCCGACCGTTCCCCCTGGGGGGGGGGTGATTTCTCGCTTTCTGTCTCTCTGTCTCTCTGTCTTTCTGTCTCTCTTTCTTTCTGGTGAGCACACATGCCCTATGGCAAAAATTTCTCCAAAAAACTTATTCTCATGTTAAAATTAGAATATTAAAGAGTTTTTACTTACAGCTATTTTTATGCAGGTAAAATTACATATATATATATATATATATGTATATATATATATGGTGAATGTGAAAAGTTAATATTTAGTTTTATCAAATCTAATAGGCCATTATATTGTGTACACAAATCCACTCCAAATTTTTATTAATGCAGAAAAATTCTATGTCAGTAGTAAACAAGATACTTTTTTTTTTTTTTTTTTTTTTGGCCATAGGGTACGTGTACTCACCTGTGAGAGAGACACAGAAAGACAGAGAGAAGGAAAGTGAGAAATCACCCCCATGGGTTGTCCAAGCTGAAATCCTTTTTCCTCCAATTTCCTCTTGGGATTCTGGGCACACATGCACATATGTCCAGTGTGATTTTTCAAGTTGCTGGGTTTGGGTCTCAGACCATGAATGGTCAAGCTGGTGTCCAGTGTGTTAGTCTCTATGACACCTGCTGACCTCCCAAATGAGGAGAGATCTATTTTGATCCATGGAATACTTTTGAAATAAAATAGTGACTGATGCCAATTAACTAAGGTATCTGAAGTAGTCAAAGTCGTGGAAGCAGATGACAGAATGGTGGTTGCCAAAAAATTGGTGAAAGAGGAAAACAGAGTTGTTTTTCAATGGATATAAAGTTACAGTTATTGGACCAGCTGGTGCTGTGGTGGTTAAGGCTGTACATGGTTGTCTGTCAGTTAATAACTCAGACCTGGCAACTTGAAAAAAGTACCAGGCATATGTGCATGCACTCCCAATATCCTGAGAGAAGAGGATTGTGGAATGGCCATTCCCTGAGGGTGTGTGGGGGGTGATTTCTCACTTTCTCTCTCTCTCTGTCTCTCCATCTGGTAAGTGGATGTGCCCAATAGTAAAACTAAAACAAAACAAAACCCTATTGAAACATCATATTTTATTCCATAAATATGACCTACTATTATTTGTCAAGAAAAATTAAGTTAAAAATCCCATAGATTACTTGAATAAAGAAGTCAGATAAGAAGTCCTAGCAAACACGACACTGAAAGCCTAAAGGGGATTAAATCCATACAAAAACATTAAAAAAATCCCCTCTTGACTGCAAAATATTAACTCTGGCATTTCAGCTTTGCAATAATTCCTTTTCATATCAACCTAGTCATCTTATTTTCTTCTTTTCAGGTAGTCATCATGGAACCAGGAAATGATACACAAATTTCAGAGTTCTTTCTTCTGGGACTTTCAGAGGAACCAGAATTGCAGCCCCTCATATTTGGGCCTTTCCTGATCACTGTGTGTGGAAACCTGCTCATCATCCTGGCCACCTTCTCAGACTCCCACCTGCACACCCCCATGTACTTCTTCCTCTCCAACCTGTCCTTCGTAGACATCTGTCTCACCTCCACCACCATCCCAAAGATGCTGGTGAACATCCAGACACAGAGCAAGGTCATCACCTATGCAGGCTGCATCAGCCAGATATGTGTTTTTACACTCTTTGCAGGGGTAGATGATTGTCTCCTGACAGTGATGGCCTATGACAAGTATGTGGCCATCTGTCACCCCCTGCACTACATGGTCATCATGAACCCCTGGCTCTGTGGAAAGCTGGTTCTAGCATCCTGGATCATGAGCCTCCTGTATTCCTTGTCACAAAGCTTAATGGCATCGCAGCTGTCCTTCTGTACACATGTAGAAATTCCCCACTTTTTCTGTGAACTTAATCAGGTGATCCACCTTGCTTGCTCTGACAGCTTCCTTAATGACATAGTGATGTATTTTGTAGCTGTGCTGCTGGGTGGAGGGCCCCTCACTGGGATCCTTTACTCTTGCTGTAAGATAGTTTCCTCCATTCGGGCAATCTCATCAGCTCAGGGGAAGTACAAAGCATTTTCCACCTGTGCCTCTCACCTCTCCATTGTCTCCTTATTTTATTGCACAGGCCTGGGTGTGTACCTTAGTGCTGCCACTACCAGCAGTTCACACTCAAGTGCAGCAGCCTCAGTGATGTACACTGTGGTCACCCCCATGCTGAACCCCTTCATCTACAGTCTGAGGAATAGGGACATAAAGAGGGCTCTGAAAATAGTCTTCAGAGGGAAATTGTGAAAAAAAAAAATCAATGGCCTGGAGCTGAAATAATGTCCAAATGCAGAGTTTATAGACTTAGAGTCAATAATTGTGACTCTGATCAGATTGTGAAAGTTCAAGTGTGTACACTTTAAGTAACACTGTATTTAGCTTTGTATAATCTTCACTATCCAGCCTTTTATTTCTTTAATATCTTTCTACTTCCCCAATGTTATTCCTAGTCTTGTATCAGAAACACTTTGATAGTATCATAAACTCATAGAATGACTTGCAACTCTTTTTAAAAATATTCTGTTTACTAAATAATTATTTTTATTTCATTTAAGTGATTACTATTATTATTATTATTTTATTTAATGAGAGAGAGGAGAGAGAGAGAGAGAAAGAGAGAGAGAGAGAGTAAGAAAGCATATTGTCAGTTCTTGGACCCAAACTATAATTAGCCATATGAGAATCTAGTGCCTTAACCACCATGCTGTTCACCTTAGGCAATTCTTAAAAATAATGTATTCTCTGGGAACCAGCAGTTAGCGTAATGGCTATGTCACTGGACTCCCACGTAGTCAACTGCAGTTCGCGTCCCAGACCCAGTGGCTTAAAACTCATGCCTGGTGCATGTGCATGCGTGCCCAAGATCCAGAGAGGAGAATGGAGGAGAAGGGATTGAGGCATGACCATCCCCCCTGGTGGGTGATTTCTCGCTTTCTGTCTCTATGTCTCTCTCTGTCTGGAGAGCGCATGCGCCCTGTAGCAAGAAAACCCCTCCAAAAAATAAAATAAAATAAAATAATGTATTGTCATATGATGTATATAATTCGGAGCAATTTTTGTATAATGTTATTATTAAAATAACTTTTGGGGCTTGTATTCTGCCCATGTAAAAAGAGAACAAGAAGAAAAAAACAACTAGAAAGCAAAAAAAATTTGCATTTGGCAAGTAACACCATTAATGTAATATAGAGTATAGACAAATCTGAAAATGCAGATTTTCATGTATGTGTATGTCCTTGCTTCCAATATCTCTGAAATGTAGACTTTAATATATTAGGGTGTATGATAACTGTGATTCGCTCATTAAAATTCTATTCTGTTACTTAGCTCAGAGTTCACATTGCCTCCTGTAATCACTGCCAAAATTGATGATCAGGTTCAGACTCTGTGGTGCAGCCACACAGAGCTGGAAGCCCTGTGAAGACTCTAGTTCAAGTCCTGAGTCTAGTCAGCATGAAATTTCACTGGATGGGGGAGATCTCACTGGAGGAAGAGTCTTTGCATAGCCCTGCTCAGTAGAGGGTTCTTCTCTCTTGTTCTATCTGTCTCCCTCACACTTTCTCTTCTTTTCTCTCATCATGTGCTCCAACACATTCTGTCATGAAGAAAAATAATTTTTTATCAACTATCTGAGTCAAAATGCTTTGTATATAGAAAGGCAAATATAACAAATAGTTGAATCGATATGGCCTTAGAATCAAAAATAGACTTAAATATGATGAAGCAAACATTTTGATTATGCATTGTTATAACTATGCACTGTGCTCCTTTTTTTCTTTTTAAAATTTTATTTATTATTATCATGATTTTGTTTTTATTACATTGAATCACATATAACTTTACATTACTTTTTCCAGAAGGAATACCAAGTATATCAGTCAACACAAAGACACTAAAATTCCTATTATCATCATCAAATAGCCATAGAGTAAGTGTATTTGCTAGAGAGAGTCAGAGAGAGAGGGAGGAAAAGTGAGAAATCACTTCTCAGGGGCAATGGTCACACTACATTGTCTTCTTTTCCAGTCTCCTCTCAGGATTTTGAACACATGCACATGCACCCAGTGTAATTTATCAAGCCACCAAGTCTTGGGACTAGAACCATGCATTCGGCCATGTGGGATCCAGCACTTTAACTACAACACCACCTGCTAACCCATGACAATTATATTTTAAGTCATGATTGGTGAAAGGTGCTAATGACCTTTGGAGGCAGGAGAGTTCACAGAGAAAGTGTAATAAAGATAAATTCTTCACACTTCCAACTTGGTCTCTCGAGGACAGCAAGTCAACAGGAAAATTTTCCTTTCTTGCCAGACCGGTGTTCATGAGGGAAATCGGGTACTAAGAGATTGTAGTTATAAGGAGGAAATGAACCTAATGAGCAGAGAGATGGAGCTGCAAATATTTCAACTACCATTGTCTCTCAAGGAGTACAACCTTGGGTTGGACAGAACATGGTTGGTTTTTCTGGAGTCTCCAGACTGGCTAGGGTTCCATGTTAAATTCTTTCATTGTGTCTTGCCTGAGGACAGAGCTACAATCTCCATCACCAATCATTCAGGGAGGAATTCACCCTTCCACAAGAAGATTGTCCTCACTGAGAGCCCATACAGGTGAGTCTGACAGCCCAGTAGGTATGGCAGATCCCGTTCAGAGAAAATGAATGCCAAGGACATCTACCTGAGATCACCTGAGAGTCAAACTAACCAAGCAAGAGCTGAGAGATTGATGTGTTTTTGTTCCTTGCCTGACAATGTTATTTATCATTAATTTATTTAACATGTTAAAAAGCCATGTATCTGTTAGACTTAGCAATGCGGGCATCATTGTGAACAATTTAGTGATGGGAATAGATATCTAATTGCATGCGAATGAAGAAGGAATGGGAGAAAGAAAATGATTTCAGTCAAATTAGAAAATGTGCACAGAAATTTGTAATTCAAGAAATAGGAAAAGTAGAATCTGAGTTGTGATGACATGTACAATGACTTTCGGGTCTTTTACAGAATTTTTGAAATGTGGATATTTTTGCATGTGTCTGAATTTTTTGGAAGAAGGAGATGAATGAGTTGCTTGCAATTCACACCTAGTAACAGGAGTTCATGAGACACATTCCACAGTTTCTTCTTTCACATTAGGCATTCACCTAAAAACTTATTAATACCATTGAATTATTTCATGTGCGTGTGTGTGTATATATATATTTGGTGCATGTGAAAAGTTAATATATTTTATGTTATCAAATCTAATAGGCAATTATATTGTATATCAACCCACCTCAAATTTTTGTTAACTTAGGTAAAGTTTTCTTTGTCAGTAGTAGAATTTTTTTAACATAAACCATGAGAGAGAGAGAGAGAGAGAGAGAGATGGAGACAGAGAAAGCAAGAATCACTTTCTCTTCTATTTCCTATTTCCTTTCAGGATTTTGGGAATGCATGCACACATATCCAGTGTGATTTTCTCTCTCTTTTTTAAAAAATGATTTTTTATTACTATTATTTTTAATTTGACAAGAGATGAGAGAGGGGAGAGAGAAAGAGAGAGAGAGGAGAGAAAGAATGTGAGAAAGTAAGCCCTCCAGGTCCAGGACTTGAACTATAGTCAGCCATATGGGAGTCTAGTGCCTTAACCACCACACCAGCTGCCAGCCCTTCCAGTGTGTTTTGCAAACTGCTGAGTTCAGGACTCAAATCACAGTAAATCATGTGGGAGTCCAGCACCTTAACTACTACTACCACTGTTTGCCCCCAAATTATGGTCTTATAATACGGATGTGTGAATACCAATTGACAGATAAAAATTAGGGAGATCTATTTTGATCCATGAAATACCTTTGAAATCAGTGTGTGATTCCACTAACCAAGGCACCTGAAGTAGTCAAAGTCATAGAAACAGACAACAGAATGGTGGTTGCCAGGGGGTTGGTAAAAGGGGGACACAGAGAGTTTGCTTTCAATGGATATAAAGTTATAATCACTGAGCCAGGTGGTGATGTGATGGTTAAGGTGGATGGATGGCATATGGTTGACTGTCAGTTCAAGCTCCAGACCCAGCAGCTTGAAAAATGCACACTTAACATTCTGAGAGTAGAAGGGATTGCGGTGTGGCCATTTTCCCTAGGGGGTGATTTCTCACTATCCCTCTTTCTGTCTCTCTGTGCTGTGAGGGCATGTGCCCAATAGCAGAACTAAAAACAAAACAAAACAGAACCTATTGAAGCATCACATTGTGCTCCATAAATATGAACAATTATTACTTGTCAATAAATAAACACGTTAAAAATCCTGTAGAACACATGATTTGTGAGAACAAAGACTTGAGTTGAATTTCCTAAGCAGAGATGGTACTGTGAAAGCCTAAAGGGGATTAGATACAAACAAAACTATAGAAATTAACTTTAAGTCTAAAATATTAACTATGGCATTTCAACTGTGTGAGTCATACCTTTTTGTGTGAAATTAGCCATCTGACCTTCCTCTTTTCAGGTATTCACCTCCGCCACATGGAGCCAGGGATTAAGACACAAATTTCAGAATTTCTTCTTCTGGGACTTTCAGAGGAACCAGAATTGCAACCCGTCATCTTTGGGATTTTCTTCTCCATGTACCTGATCACTGTGTGTGGAAACCTGCTCATCATCCTGGCCACTATCTCAGACTCCCACCTGCACACCCCCATGTACTTCTTCCTCTCCAACCTGTCCTTTTCTGACATCTGTTTTACCTCCACCACCGTCCCAAAGATGCTGGTGAACATCCAGACACAGAGCGAGGTCATCACCTATGCAGGCTGCATCACCCAGATGTTCTTTTACATAGTTTTTGCAGTGTTGGATTACTTCCTTCTGACCGTGATGGCTTATGACCGGTATGTGGCCATCTGTCACCCCCTACACTACACAGTCATCATGACCCCCTGGCTCTGTGGAAAGCTGGTTCTAGTGTCCTGGATCATGAGGGTCTTGTATTCCTTGTTACATACCTTACTGGTGTTGCGACTGTCCTGCACACATGTGGAAATCCCCCACTTTTTCTGTGAACTTAATCAGGTGGTCCACCTTGCCTGCTCTGACACCTTTCTTAATGACATGGTGATCTATTTTGCATCTGTGCTGCTGGGTGGTGGTTCCCTCACTGAGACAATTTACTCTTACTCTAAGATAGTTTCTTCTATACATGCCATCTCATCAGCTCAGGAGAAGTTCAAAGCATTTTCCACCTGTGCCTCTCACCTCTCAGTTGTCTCCTTATTTTATTGCACAAGCATAGGTGTGTACCTTAGTGCTAGTGCTACCCACAGCTCACACTCAAGTGCAGCAGCTTCAGTGATGTACAGTGTGGTCACACTCATGCTGAACCCCTTCATCTACAGTCTGAGGAATAAAGACATAACATAAAGAGGGCTCTAAAAATAGTCTTTGAGAGGCAAACTATTAAACTATTAAACTATGGCCTGGAGCTGAAGTAGTGCCCATGATAACAAGTTTCAAAGCATTGGGACTAAAAATTGTGTTTCTCTGATCAGATTGTGAAAGTAGAGCTGGCTCTACTTGTCTACGCAGAAAAAGTAACACAGTTTCTATCTTTCTACACTCTCTCATAGCCAGAAGTTATTTTCTCTACCATTTTCCTACTTGCCTAAAGTTACTCCCAGTTTGTGTCAGAGAAACTTTAAAATTTTCATTATCTCATGGGATGACATGGAACTCTTTAAGAATAATTTATTCTCTTATAGTGTATATTATTTTGAGGAATTTTGAGCCCCACTACAATCCCTTCTCTTCCATCCTCCTCTTGGGAGTTTGAGTATGGACATGCACGTGCCTCATGCAAATTTCTAACCACTGAATCTGGATCTGGAACTCAGCCCACAACTGGCCATGTGGTGTTTATGGAGTCTAGCCCCTTAAACACTACGTCACCTGCTGACCTGCCATATAGCTATTTTCAAATTGTTTACTTTTGTCAAATATTTTATACTTGTGATTGAGTTAATCTGTAGATGTGGACCCCCAGATACAGGGGAGAGGGGAGTACTTACTATGATCAGATTTTGGGAATTTGCTTCAGCTATATATTTTCTGGAGCTTCTGTTTCTCTTTCTGCAACTTTTGTCATTCAATTTAAATAACTCGCTTTATTAAACTTTCTGCTCTATTTAATATGTGGAAAGTTTTCTTTTTTTTGTACATTTTTCTATTTCATATATTAATTCCTAACTTGGTAAAAAAAAAGAAGAGTAAAGAAGAGAGAGAGAGAGAGAGAGAGAGAGAGAGAGAGAGAGAGAGAAGAGAGAAAAATCACCCCAGGAAGGATGGCACACTGCACTCACTTCTCCTCTAGTCTCCTCTTGGCATTTGGGCATACATATCCAGCATTATTTTCAATCAAGCGGTCCAGGATTTGAGTTGTGCAGTCAGCCATGTGGGATCCAGTGCTTTACCCTTCACACCACCTGCTGACCTGGGTTTTATTCTCGTGATTAAGATCCAGTTCTCTTATTCAGCCTAGTGTTTATAGCATCCACCATAGTCAATGGCAAAAACTAATTATCAAACACATGGCACTATGTGGAGTGCATGTGAGGATGGAAATGGAATATTTTGTTTTAATCTGCCTTACAGTCAAAGATAACCTTAAATATAATTCAGGTACATGTTGTTATACATTCTATTACTGTGGAATATGATTCTTTTTAAAGCTGTGCATCTACTCATTGAGGAAGGATAGATTATTGCTTGTGTGTGAAGAGTTCTATTTTTGATGTATAGCATTTTTGCTATGGACTCATGGAGCTAAATATCTCCAAATTGACCTTAAGTTTCTTCTGATACTTAAGTGAAATTTTAATACAAAATGCCCTTACCAGGATAAATTTAATGAATGAATTGAAAGGCATGAAGTTAGGTTGCTTGCATTAAAATTATTTTATGTAATTATTTTTAATTTTTATTAATTATTATTTATATAAAAAATAAAGTTAAAAAAAACCTACATGCACTATCTTTTCCTTCACAGCTAAAGTTTTGACATCTTTCTCTTTTTCTCTTGGACTCATATTTTCTTTCCTTTTGTCCCATGCCTACAACCTGAGATCTAGATGCATCTTGAAGTTTTAATAAAAATTCCATCCTTACTAAGTTCATGATTAGACTGTCCTGAGTCCCACTTCTGCAAGGTATCATGAATTTGCTAATAGTGTGTCCTAGTAGAATGGTATTGTGCAAGAATTAAATCAAACAAACCATGTAAGTTTCTAACCAGTCCATTGAGCATAAAGAGGTCAACACATATCTCTTGCAATTACTCAGGGCTACATAAATCAAAGACTAAATGACAATTAAAAATTTTTTAAAAAATATTTAACAGATTTTTGTGATAGAGTGCATATGCTTGCAGTAGAGAAATAGAGAAAAACAGAGAGAGGGAAAAGTCAGAAATCATCCCACTAGAGATGGTTGTGTTGCAATCCCTTCTCCTTTATGTCCTCTTGGGATTTAGGGCCCATAGGCCCACATGCCTGGCTTGATTTTCAAGCTGCTAGGTTCTGAATTTTATTTATTTATTTATTTATTTTTGTTATATGGTGCGTGCGCTCACCAGACAGACGGAGAGAGACAGAGAGACAGAAAGCGAGAAATCACCCCCCAGGGGGGATGGCCTTGCCACAATCCCTTCTCCTCCATTTTCCTCTGGGGATCTCGGGCACGCATGCACAAGTGCCCGGTGTGAGTTTTAAGCCACTGGGTCTGGAACAGGAACCATGGTTGACTACATGGGAGTCCAGAGACATAGCCATTACACTAACTGTTGGTTCCCTGCTGGGTTCTGAATTTGAATCACAGCTGACCATGTGTGAGACTAGCACCTCAAACATCATACCACCTGCTAGCTCCTAAATGACAACTCTTAGTGCATGTTCTGAGCATAAAACTCCTAAATGCTTTGCAAAAGTCCTCCTAAATGCTTTGCAAAAGCATTATGGAACCAAGGATTGTCGTGACTTCACATAGTTTTGTATAGCATGTGAACACAGTTCTCTCTATGTCGAAGAGGCAATACGATCAGTTTCTGGACATCTAAACAGTTGTATCTCCACCACGAATCTATGCTTTGGAAATCCGAAGAGTTAGTAAGGACAAATTCCTCAGTTAGATTCAGAAGAAATTCATTTTATTTTATGATTTCTTATTTACATACTATCACTGTGCATTTCTATAGTATACAATATATTCAAGACACACACATGCACATGCAGTGTGTGACAATTTATTTTTATTTTTATTTTATTTTATTTTTTTAGTTTTTGCTGCAAGGACACACGCACTCACAGAAATGAAAAAAAAAAAAAGAGAGAGAGAAGGTAAATGAGAAATCGCCTCCCTGGGGCATGGTCGTACTGCATTCCTTCTCTTGCAGTCTCCTCTTAGGATTTTGGACACATATGCACACTGCCCAGTTTGATGTCCAAACCACCAGGTACAGGAATTGAAATGTACATTCAGCTAAATGCAAGGACACACGCACTCACAGAAATGAAAAAAAAAAAAAGAGAGAGAGAAGGTAAATGAGAAATCGCCTCCCTGGGGCATGGTCGTACTGCATTCCTTCTCTTGCAGTCTCCTCTTAGGATTTTGGACACATATGCACACTGCCCAGTTTGATGTCCAAACCACCAGGTACAGGAATTGAAATGTACATTCAGCTAAATGGGATCAAACACCTTAACCTCCTGCCACATGCTGGCCCCTGACAAATTTTAATTCAACAGTGGGTAAAAGGTGCTAATGACCTCTGGAGGCAGGAGAGTTCACAGAGAACATGCAATAAAGACTGAATTCTTCCCACTTTTATCCTGGTCTCTTGAGAGCAGCAAATCAGAATGAAAATGTTATTTTCTTTCCAGACTAATGTCCATGAGGGAAATCAGCTACTAAGAGGTTGTAGTTATAAGGAGGAAATGTACCTAATGAGCAGACATAGGGAGCTATAAATATTTCATCTGTCATTGTCTCTCATGGAGAATAGCCTTGGGCTAGGCAAGACATGGTTGATTTTTCTGGAGACTTCAGACTGGTTAGGGTTCCATGCTTAATTCTTTCATTGTTTCTTGCCTGGGGACAGAGCTGCAGTTCCCATCACCAACCATTCAGGGAGAAATTTACTCTTCCACAAGAAAACCATCCTCTCTGAGAGTCGCTGCAGGTGAGCCCAAGAGCCTGGTAGGTACCACAGGAATGGGTCAGAGAGAACAGAAGCCAAGGACATCTACCTGAGATCAGCTGAGAGTCAAACCAACCTAGCAAGAGCTGAGAGATTGATGTGTTGGGTGCTTGTGTGACCAAGTTATTTATCATCAATTTATTCAACATGTTAACAAGTCAGATGTCTGTCAGACTTAGCAATGCAAGCATCATTGTGGACAATTTAGTGGTGGGAATAGACTTCCAGTTGGATGAGGGTGAAGAAGGAATGGGAAAAATAAGATGATGTCAGTCAAATGAGAACATGTGCACAGAAATTTGCAGTTCAAGAAGTAGGAAAAGTAGAATCAGAGTTGTGATGAGCTATGTAGTGACTTTCGGGTCTGTTAAGGAATTTTTGAAATGAGTGTATTTGTGCATATCTCTGTATTTCTTTTTTTTTTTTTTAAGGATCCAGATGTATGGATTGTTTGCAATTCATACCTTGCAAATGTAGTTCATGAGACCTACATTTCACAATTTCTTCTTTCACATTGGGCATTCACAGAAGAAAACTTTAATTGAAGGTCAAAATAAGAATATTAAAGAGTTTTTACTTACAACTCTTTTCTTGCTATTGTAATTGAATAAGCTTGTTAGTCTATCAGCTTTTTACTGTACTGGAAATCATGCAAGCATTTTATTTTCATGTTCTGGAGTTGGAATATATTTGATTCTTTTGAGTTTTTTTTTCTTTTAATAATGAATTAAAGTTTTAAAATAAAATTTTCAGAGTAACATTAAATTATGTTATGTATTAATCGATATAGACATATATTGAGTGAACGTGAAAAATTAATAGATTTTGTGTTATCAAATCTAATAGGCCATCATATGGTATACACACCCACCCACTCCATATTTTTATTAACTTAGAATAATTCTACATCAGTAGTAAACAGAAGTTCCCATTTTGCTTTATTGCCATAGGTCACATTTGCTCACCTGAAAGAGAGAGAGAGAGACAAAGAGAGGGAAAGTGAGAAATCATACCCTCGGGAGATGTGCACATAGAATCCCTTCGCCTTTATCTTCTTTTTGAGATTTTTGGCATTCATGCACTCTTGTCCAGTGCTATTTTCAAGCAACTGGGTTGAGGATTTGAACCACGGTCTGCCATGTTGGAATACAACACCTTCACCACTATGACGCTT